AACTCTAAATATTTAAAAATAAAATTAGACTCATAAGAGATAGGTCTAAGATGCATAAAACTTACCCAAAGATATTAATCTTGGGCAGCATTTAAAAGCTATTATCCATAAAATAATTTATCCCATATGCCCTAAAACCAAAAATAAAAGAATTATTTCCTCTCTTTATATAACCACAAGTGGCACATTCAAATAACATACCAAATGCTATGTCCAAGCTGATTCTTCACAATTTTTGAAACTCCTCAGTTCATACGGAAATAAAATATCAACAGTAGAAAGAAAGGTGCCGATAGAATGGAGAAAGCTGTGCTTCCTAATGTTAAACAGACTACCATCGTGTAACAAAAAGGCACCTTCTCTTCAAAGGAAGAGGTATAAAACAACTGAATCATCTAAGGCTAAAAACAAATCACTTAATGAAAGTATGTGGGGTATTAATTGGATAGGACTTATTCTCATCTTTTTTGAACTATTATTGCAAATTTTAAAATAATCAGTCCTTAATTACTGCCTACAAAGATCATATCAGATGATAGTTTTACAGCTATTTGAAGAATATGGTTAGGTGCCTTTTGATAAGCATGGTACAAAATTTAGTATGCTTCTTGAGGTTCAGGGAATCCTGTAGTAAATCAATGATGTATTCTCCAAGTAACATTTTGCCTTCCCTCTTTAACTTCAGCTCTTTTCTTTACACTTATCCAGTGTTTATGCTAGCTACATAGGGGTATCAGTGGAGAAATGGACTTCTAATTAGGAACTCAGAGTGCAGCCCAGATTCACAATCATCCTTTGTTACACTATCCCAGAGACAACAGGAATTTCTGTTCTTCTGACCAATATACTAATGGAATACCCACAAATCAGTCCAAGATAGAAATTCTTTTCTACGGATTGTGCTTTATCTCTTCATCAGTTGCTTGTCTGAATGGCTTAGATCTAATTCTACTTTTTTTTTTTTTTCCTCCATTCTTGGACAGCCATTGCAAAAAGAAAGCAGAATTTGTGATAAGAAGGTGCTGTGAATTCTCTCCAGAACGGCTGGATGACATTTATCTATGCTACTGTGACTCTTTGCCTCTTCCATATAGGCAACAAAAAAGCCCTTCCACGGCAGATCTCGTGATCGGGAGTTCCACAGACCAAAACGTGGTGTTCAAGAACAAGTCAACAGAAGGTAGTCATATAGCATATCTCTGCTGGCAAATACCCTATTTTCCACGAGAAATAGATGTGATATTTACTGCTTGTCAACTGAACAGCAACTTCCCTCTGCAGTTGCAACCTCCTTCTGCAAGACACACAAGGACAAGGATCAGAGTCAACGACAATGCTGCTAAAATGGCTCAAGGCAAAAAGAGGATGAAGGAATGGTCTCTGCAGGGACGAGAAGTGCGCAGACACATCAGAAGATATACTGGATCTCTTGCCTTGCTTCTCCTGGTTGCAGCTCCCTTCCCCCACTGGCTGTGACTCAAACCCTTCTCTCTTGATCTACTCCCCTCCCCCTGAGATTTGCCTTTGAATTATGCGAGCTTTGCACTCCCCAGGGTTTATCTGCCAAAAGGTAGCATGTGGCCCATGGTTTGCATTTTAGTTTAAAATTTTCTATTACAGCAGTCAGATCCTTTCAAAATACTTTACCTCCTTTATTCCCATAGGCAGAAAGAATGGCAGGAAAAAATTGTTCACAGCAGTACGAGAGGATGTAAAAGTTCTACATTTTCAGTTTAAAAAAAAAAGAAAGGTGGAATATGGTTTTAATCAAGTAGTTTTCCTTCCTAGACGAGTGCTTCCTTCTTGTAATATATATAACCTGACTGCCTATAAAAATAAAGGTGCCAGTTGGAGCCATTTAGGAGACCTAAGGAAATTCTGCATTAACCTAAACTCCTCCACTCCTCAGTTCCTTCCACTATTATTCTGTGTGTGGCCTCTCCTGATGAGTTAGGTCACCAATATACATACATATATCTGTGAAGATACTTCAGAAACACATGCATCACAGGCTTCTTGTTACTGATGTGGTCCAGGCTTAGCATAGACCATCTATGTGGAGAAATTGCCACGGCTTAAGAACACGCTATTATTTCCATATGATACCTAAAAGCCTCAGTAACTTGCAATCCTCAGAGTATACAGAAGCTTCTCCTTGTTTTAGGTTTGCAAATAAAAATATATTTTCTGCTACAACTGTCAAGATTTAAAGACCCAAATGCTGAACCTTATTGAGAGGAGAAAGCCAAAAGTATCCTTTTTGAAACCAAGAAATCCAGAGTAAAATTTCTGCTTTAATAGTTGTCGAATAAATACATACCAAATCTGAGGTGTCATGTCTGCCTAAAAATACTGTTAATTGTCCAGATTAGAAACTCATTTGGCCTCTAACCAGGAATTTGGTGGAGAAAAGAAGTAATATTTTCTAGCAAGCTGACTGAAGGAGAAAAATAAATGCTGATTGAAGCTGCTCGGCAGTACAGAACGTTAGCGCAGCTCCTCAGGGAGATGGATTAGTAAGCAGGAAGAAGGTGAGGCTGTCAAAGGTGCATGATAAATTCATTTAGCACATAGATATAGAATGATTATGCACATAGATATACACACGAACAGATATTTTATTACTTTCATCTCTACTCATAAGTAAAAACAGAATAACTCACCATTGGTGATGATAGTCATTAAATCTCTGCACTGTCAATATCATAGCGGAGCTTATCGTATGTACCATTTCAAATTACATATGCACATTTACATTAAAAAAAAAATGTTTTACAAAATACACATAAATAGCAAGAGATACCTAAAACAGGAATCTTTTTACTGTTTTACTGTCCTGCTTAAAAATGCTAAATAAAAATATTCCATTGGACCGATCTTCAAGTAACTCAGAATGAAAGTGCTACAAGACACCATTCATCCTGCTGCCTGCATTCATCAGCATGTATTTTTGACACCATCAGTAGTGTTTTGAAATTCTGCTGCTGCTAAGCTACTCCGTGATTATGAACTCAACAACACTGCTATTCTCCCTCTCCTATTTTCATTTTTATACCCCACTCAGTTCAGGCAGCATAGAGCAACTCAAAAATAAGAAACATGGTAGTGAAGTACAATAAAACCATGACAAATTCAAAAGATTTGGTAACAAAATATATTAATATATTTATAGAAGTACAAAGTGAATGCCTCTCTAACTGAGATGATCCACACCTACAGACAGATTTGTAACTTTCATGGTCTCAAATTCCTTTTTTTTGGGCTATGAGACAAGTAGAACAGATCATAGTTAAAGTGATAATAACATTGTTCTAGAAAAATTAAAGACTACAAAAAAATTGTGTGTGGCAGACTGCTATTTTCATTAGTATTACTTCAATTATTAGTTTCATAAACAATGGTTCAATGATGGTTCATTTAATACCAAAATTAAGAACAAATTACACACAATGCCCAGTCTATTTTTCAGCTCACACTTAAACCTAGCACTTCAAGAGTCTAATAAATACTCTTACAAGGTAAGAATATTTCTTTGTCAGTGTACACTGGACAAACATTATCAATGAAATGAAAACATGACAGGGTGAACATCTAGTACCCTTGGGTCAGTAACTGTTTCAAACGCAAATGATGACATTTTTCCTTGAAAGCTAAGTGTTCCAGCATCTCTTAGCTCAATCAAATGTATTTATGTGCAACGTCTATATTTTACCTCAAAGTGGACCAAGATGCAGTCTTCAGACTGATGGCAACCCACGTAATGACGACATCCAGCCATCACTCTTGGTACTTAAGCCAGCCCTTGTGTACCCCTACCAGCCCCACATACCCCCCAAACCTTTCCACTCCACCCATGAGCCAGCTACAACCCACAGCGTTGCTGATGTGACTTTCTCCACAGAGGCTGTCAAGGTGCCCCCAACAGGCAGGTGGCCAGTGCGCACAGAGAAAATAGTATTGTTTAAAATAGTAATTACTTACTTCTCAGACCTTCTTTCAATAAGCAATAAATAACAAATACTTCAATTAGGATTAGACTAGAATTCTACAGCGAACCTCAAACCTAGTATTTGTTAGCAGAAATGTCTTCATTCTTGTTTTCATTTATTCACACACATATTCCCTGTTGGTACACATCTAGCCATCCTTTCAAATAAAATTGTTTCTAGCATTCCTATTACTTTGTTCTCAGGGACTCAGAATATTTTATAACAAAGTACCAGTTACAATTATTCTGTAATTAATATAATTGCAGCTATACTCGATACCAATGTATTGCCTCAACAGAGGATGTAAAACTGATCAAAAATCTGGCTTAATCACCCATCCCACCATTACTTTTTTTTTTAAACAGCTGTCTAGATGGAGGAGGGAGGAGTCTGTAACCCCACAATATCCTAAGGGATACTTTAGTAAAAAGATTTTTCTGAATGCTGCTGAGTCTGAGTGAGACTACTGATCTTTCCAATGTTTAAATATTTACTTTTGCACACAAAAAATACAGGACAAGTTGTTATTAATTTGATAGCAAGCCAAACAAAAAGAATGGAAGCTACAAAATTATGGTGTTTGACGTGTACTACATACGCAGGATTCAATTAAAAGAGAGTTGTTGAAATGGCAAAAGTAAATTCCAAAGTGCAAGCCAAATCAAGGTTGCTCACTGTCTTCTGCCATTAAGATCCAGTGTTAGCGAACAAAATGACTGTCCTCAGCAACTGAAGCGATCCTTGAACATTTATTTTTATATCAGCATCCAGCCTGTGCTGAATCCAGGTGCACAAAGTTTAAGAACAACTTGCATGCTTGTTCTCTTAATTTGGCATGCTGTGACGACTGGTTCAGGCACCTTGCATTTCACTGGCCTCTAGCCAAACCACAAGAGAACGCAAAGATTTGAACACTCACCAGTAGCCTCCAACATCATGGAGTCTTTACACTTTCAACCCTGCAGTGGTAAACAAAGATTTTCCTCTCCTATATTTAAAGTACAAACTCACCTCTCTCAATACGGGATCCGTTATTGAACTTAAATTAACAGCTCCTTCGTAAGTCAAATAGTAGAATACATTCAGGGACCTAACAGCCTCTGGCCCTTGCTGTTTATAGCCAAAAATCAGATCAATCCACTGGTGAAGCTGGCAGGAAACAAACTCACTTTCTAATGCCTGTGAAAAAAACACAAACACAATATATAAATTTGAGTTTGCCCGATAGTCATCATTTAGTAGCAGAAGCAGCACTTTTTTTGAATAGCGTACAAAATTATCTTAACATGTGTAAGTACAGAATTTTAGACATTCTATCCAAAAAAAAGGTGGGCCTGTGATAGATGCCTTCCTGCTGACCAGAAAACCTTCTTTTTTATACTATAATAACAGGAATAAGAAAAAAAAAGCAGTAAGTGGAAAGCATTTATGCCTTTATGGACAGCCGGGTTATGTTTTTATGAACTTGTGCTTTTTTGTGTGATGTGCATGGTGAATAATAACAGCGCTATAATCTGATTCTGACAGACAGAGAGAAGATTGATAGACTTGGGGAAACTGAACTAACTAGGGACGTTAGGGTACAAATTTTTTAACACGCCGGAATATCAACTTGCTGTTACTTTTATGCATTTCTTGTATATATCTCTTATACAAAACCATACAGAAACAGTACTGTGCTGAATGATGAAGTCACTTTTCTGAAGATGTTATCCAGTTACAACCCAATCCCCAAGGCAAAACCATCTAAACAATAATGAATGTCTCCCTAATGGTATTAGATACAGCACAAATATATTAAAAGATAAGTTAAAAATCATTGTCATCTAAAGAGTTAATTCATCTAGATTAAATCACTGGCAGGATTTGCTTTTTCTATTTCATACAGCGGATTCAATATATTTCTTATTTGAATGAGCAAATGAAACAACGTAACAAAGTCTGATATCCTCTTCATCTAATGAAATGAATGGCATTTTCCTTGTAAAGGAAATCCCTAATTTTGAGCAGAGGAAGTTAAAATTAATCTGAAACCCAAGGAAATCACTCTGCAATTTGCACACAAAAATGATGGGTTTGTTTCATTAACCGATGCCTGAAAACAACATTTAAATTGACACATAAAACCAGCAATTGTCTTAATTTGTGTGGTGCACTCCACACAAAAGCCCTAAATATGTTCAAATTAGAGCAAGCTGCTTGATTGTCACTGCAGTCTCATGTCATATTAATGCATGACAAACATTAAACCATACACTTAAATGGCAATTTATATCATTTAAATGTTTACTGCCACACCAGATCATCACTCATTTAAATGTGACTTTCTGACAGCTAATTTCAGTTAATTTTCCTCGATTCACTTAATTAGAACTTTCAATCAAGAAAAGACCTGTACATATCTTCGACATCATACCATTCTTTTTTTTATTATTATTTTTATTAGGATTCCCAGCTACTGAATTGCTGAAAGCATTCTTTAAAATGAATTACCACACAGTATAGTACCTCTTTGGATGATCATATGAAAATACCTTACAACATATATGCTTAGACTCGATAGTTTCTTTCTTACTTTTTAAAAAAAAAAAAAATTAAAAAACCCCCAACATTTAGACACAGACACACAATTAAAACTATAAAAAACCACAAGCAGGCCAATTAAAAATTAATGATTTCAAAATTGTTTAATAAGATAAAACCAGTCAGGAGTCTCATGAGTGTCCATAATACTACAATGTGCAGCCATAAAATTCTACAGGGCTCAGCAAATGACAATGATAGGAATTAATTTTCTTGCTATCCTCCTGAAAAAAATTTAACCCTAGAATATACTTACTGTTATCATTATAACTATGTAATGTCAGGAAAAATAGCATTAAGAACTTGTGATTTTATATATATATAATATATATACACATACACACATATTTAGCACGGGCAGAGGTCATTCCTATTTTCCTTTTCTTTAACAGGTATGTAAGTCTGACTTTTTCTTTAAAAAGCAAATCTAAACCACACTCTTTGCCTTTTCATGGAATGGTTGGGACGCATCCTGAATTTACTTCTCTTTTTCAAGTTTAAAATTATTTTACACTTGTAATTTATACAGATTCAAAAGCAGAAATTGTCTTTTAATTTTTTTCCACATTAGGCCATTTTAAAATCTTCTTTCTTATTTGCCAAATCACAAATAAAACACAAAATGACTACAGTCAGCATCAATACCCAGGACCCTGAAGGACAGGTCAAATACGGCACAGAAATAAATGAGCTTGCCTGCCATTTCAGGTTCACAGCTAAGCTCTCGGTTGGAGGGAAGTGCTTATGCTATGAAACAATCGATGGAGGAACAACAGTTAACAGTTGGTACAACGATTAAAAAATACAGTCAACTTTCAAGGAAAACACCACAACGTACCAACACGTGTGATGCACTTCATAGCCACATTGGTAGATACTATTTAAGTATGGGTACTCCTTAAAAAAAATCTGTGAAGTGAAAAAGTTCCGATTTGCGTAACTATCCAGTTTTAAAAAGGAGATGTTTTTTAAAAATAAAAGAAATTAGTGTTAGAATTTACCTCTTGCGAAATGAAACCACGTTAGCTTAGCGAATGCTAAACATTCAGGATTACTTAAGCATCTAGGAGAGCCAGTGCTCATTAAGGCTCAAGTTAAATAGGGCAGGCAGTGATGGGGTACTAACATCCTTCCCATGCTGCTCTTAAAGCAAACCAATCAATTGTGAGCATTCCCACAGCAGACCAAGTACATCATTTACTGTGTGCTCTGAGGAGAATGTGCAAAACAAGAAAATCCTCTACAATGTCCAGCATAACACAGTAATATTCAATCCTATTGAGTTATTGTAAAATAAATCAGTGAGTAATGCCCAATTGTTAAAGGATCAAACAAGACCATGAAAAGACCGTCACATGAAGCCACACACAAATTGTCAATTCTGTCCACAGGGACTCATATTAACTTTGACAAACTGTCTTGGGGCTGATATCTGTTTCTTTAATGAGATCTATTAGGCAGAGACTAAAACACTTGAGATATGCTAAAAAGTACAGTATACAGATGTCAAACACAAACACCTATTAGTAACTTCCATTTCTCCATTCCCAAGGTAGAAATGCTTCAGACACATCAACAAATTGAAGCTTTGATCTTATGAGGAAATTTTAGTTTATTCATAAATATTTTTCAAAGGCACTCTGATGTCACTAAACGTGTGCAATCAAGACTACTTCTTCATGACCGACTCTGAAATTCATTATTTTATGTGCATCTTTTTCTGCCCTGTTTTCTGAAATGAACGAACAGAGAATAATTTCTTGCTAGCAACCTAAGACTGATATCAGTCTAATACTGATACAAATGATTTGGTAAACCATGGTTGGAATGACAAAAACATAAAACTAGCAGGTTAGGAAAGATTTTTTTCTTTTTCCAGTAGGAATACTCTAACCATTTATTATGATATATTTTCCCAAACAATATTATACCCTTGGAATCGAGATTTTTATCTTTAAAGTGACTACTGTTGGCTTTTGCCCTCTTCTTTCTGATTTAGATTATGTAGTAACATATAGTATATGAAATTATATCTATTAAAAATGAATATATACTGTGCTTGAGACTGGGATGTTCCAGTGCTGAAATTAGATGAAAAGATTAACTCTATTTCTTTTCCCCAGCATAGATATTTATTCATAATCAAGCTATTCGGAAATAGACAACAGACTTATTCCTATGCTGATTAAAGTAAAGTAATCTTGAAGCACAGCGTAAAGCATGCATGTAACTCTTCTTTGAAAGACACAAGAAGTCCAACCGATCCAAACTGTGTTTTATACAGTTAAAATGAAAGTAGGAACTTTGATGAGAAATGAAAACTGTGTCTCATACATGAATAATCCTTCCTATTCACTCAATTAAAAACATAAAAATACCCAGAAATATACTACATCAGCAAGTAAGAAATTAGAAATCTCGAGTATAAATAATTGCTTATTACCTTTAATGGACTAAATATTTTAATTCCTCTTTGAAGTAAGAAATTTCATTTGAAACACTTAAAATAATTGAGTCTTTTTTTTTACATTCCATTTGAAACATATTCATGTATGAACAGAAAAGCATGAATTAGGATTTCACACATTTTAGCACAAACACAATTCTGATGTGAAAAATACTCTTCTTGAATACAACAAAACACCTGCATAACTACGGTACCAGGTAACTACTTTAAACTAAGTACGTAGTCGAACTTGGAAGTATGTGCATGCACGTATATTTAAAAAAAACCCACCCCACCCCAAACCAACAAAACCAAACAACTGCAATTCTGTTTGCATGTGCAGGCTTTCAGACACAAGTTGGTAATGCTGCCTTAACATTGATATATGACCTTTGTAAGTTACAATGAAGAAGGCTGGTTTTTTCAGCCTAATTAGAACTGTTTCAAATTTTCCTGCTAAATATATGATAGAAAGTCCTTTCAACTTTTTTTTTATTATTATTATTATTCTAGAGTTTCTTTCCATGTCAACCTTGTTCCAATCAAAATATGTTTTGAATTAAATGATTTTGATTCAATATGTGGATCGCATTTCACTTCTAAGATTTAAAGTCCAAAAAGGAAAAGTTTAGGCTGTTCAAACAAAACAAAAGCAGCCACTTTGCGGAAAGCTATTCACATTTACCAAGACTGACAAATTGTTTGTGTGCACCATTAGGTCTAGTTTCTGCAATAGTTGCCAGATTTCCTGTCCTCCTAATAACATATTAACTCTTGAAGTGCTGGCTTTATCTTTTGAGGTTTCTCAGTAACCACTAGTATTTAAAAGTAAATTACCAAACACACTTTCACCAGCAACAATATTTGATGACATGGGTAGACAGTTGAGAAAAAAAAAGTATAAAAAGCTATTAGAAAGATACTGAACTCCAGCCTGCCTTGAAGATCTCGGGAGGAGGAGGAAGAGGACAGCAGACATACGAAGGAGAAAACTCCGAGTTCTACATGAGGTAATACAAATTTCTAAAGGAATGAAACGGACATCAAAACTATTTACATGATTGGTGGTTTCTAACTAGCTAATGCAGTATTTTGCAATTTGTTTTAGACAATAAATACTTCAGAAAGCAAGCATTACAGTTTAAGTTAT